CGTGCGCGCGCATACGCGCAGATGTGTGTCTGCGCCGTTGCTGACGGATTAAGAAGCGAAGATCGATTGGCGACATGTCTACAGTAACATGAGACTCGCGTGCCAACAAGCGCGTACACAGTGTGTACGCAAATGTTATGTCGTACATGTTTACACTGCTAATAGAAATGACAAAGCAAGGGGTATACATATCTCGTGGCGCCGCGACGCTTCGTCATTTGCGTAATGTTTCAACGAGATATATAGACAATTTCAGTAACCATAAACTTCTGCATTCTTTGCGCATGTGCAATCCGTCCGCTCGACATCCGTTATTTCGCGTGACTTGCTCAGTGAAACACGCAGATGACCAGTAATCGTGTACAAATCCCGCAGATGTCGCTGTGACAAATGCTACAGGAAAGCCCTGCATGGACAACACACACGGGCACATAAAAGCCTGTGAGCGAGAATGAATGTACCGTATGATATGTAGCGGACGTGATTTTCCATTAGAACAGCGACGTTGTGGAAATTATTGTTGATCGTCCATATTCGCCTTCTTCTTCGTCGTCTAGTTGTTTTTGTTTTTGTTGTTGTTGTTGCTGCTGTTGTTGTTGTTGATGATGATGATGATGTTGTTGTTTAGTCGTCGTCGTTATTGTTGGTACTTATCATACCCATCCTTCCCTCCTTCCCCTCCCCTCCCCCTTGTTCTTTCTTCTTCTTCTTCGTCTTCTTATTCGTCTTCGTCTTCGTCTTCTATTTCTTCATCTTCAGCCTTTCCTCTTTTCCGTATAGATCCTTCTCTCATGTTTCTTATGCGCATGCATCCTTGCCTTTTTATGCTCGTCAAATTTCATCTTCCTCATATTCCTTTTTCTGCACTTCTTCTTTTTCCGTCTTATTTCGCTTTTACGTGGGGACGAAACGGAGCTGACTTGCTGCCCGTAAACCCCACACTGTAGCAAACTAATGATTTCGGTACTGATTTATCGTCTGTCGTTGCGGGGACTGCTTCACCAGTCATGCATAAATAACGCACAGCTTGGGCTATATGCAACGAAGCTCCTTACAACGAGTGAGAGATAAACATATCCTCTCAGAGACAGTGCTGTTATTCTCTCTCGCGCGCGCTCGTTCAGTTCGCTCTCTCTCCTCTCTCTCTCTCTTTATATAATATATATATATAGGGAATAAAGACAGATAGATGGATAGATAGATAGATAGATAGATAGATAGATAGATAGATAGATAGATAGATAGATAGATAGATAGATAGATAGATAGATAGATAGATAGATAGATAGATAGATAGATAGATAGATAGATAGATAGACAGATAGATAGATAGATAGATAGATGGAGAAAGAAAGAGAGAGGGAGCCGGGACGGAGGTTGTGGTATATGCTACCCCTTGTCATGAGTATGTCGATTAAGCTACACAAACAGAGCTTGAATTAATTTAAATTTTATGAATTGCAATTACATTTAATTGTAAAGAAGTTCATTTTCGACCATCCGGCCGTAATTATTGATGGAAAATTATATTTGTCGGAATACAATATATACGCTAACTACTACAATACTATATACGCTAGCTCACATATGCTGGGCATGTGTTATGGTTATTAGGCAAATGTAATGTGTATACATAAAATAAATCTAATTGGGCCGTGGTAGTCACGTGGACACGACAATCTCGATATGACTGCAGAGAAAATAAGCGGCTCGAATGTATTATTCGCCAATAAACGCGTGTTCAGACATTATACATTTTGCATTAAATACAGTTAATAAAACTAAATTTTCCGGTAAGACGGTTGGCCTAAACAGACGATGCGAAACGTGAATACTGTAGTAGATGGGGAGAGCGGGAGGACGAGGATTGGGGCGAGAGCGGGAGAGATAAATATATAGATATAGAGAGAGGTGGAGAGAGGAAGAAGGAAAGCGCGACAACAAGAGAGAGAGAGAGAGAGAGAGAGAGAGAGAGAGAGAGCGCGCGCGCGAGAGAGAGAGAGAGAGAGAGAGAGAGAGAGAGAGAGAGAGAGAGAGAGAGAGAGAGAGAGAGAGAGAGAGAGAGAGAGAGAGAGAGAGAGAGAGAGAGAGAGGTGGGAGGGAGAAAATAGCGAGTGAGTGAGTGAGGATGAGAGAGTGGGAATAGAGCAGCGTAACGCATATTCTCAGGTTGCAGCCAGAGATTAATTCGACAACGAATCTCATCAAAAACGTAGTCGCTGATGGAATAGATATCATGCTCCGCCAGCTGCCCCCAGCGGACGCTGTCGTTATTGCGTTACTCTTAGCCATTTCCGCCGACTGGCGTCTCTAGAAATTGCCTGACCTGACCTGAGCTGTCACACGTTGCTGATCTAATTTCTCGGGCATAGCGCTGCGAAATATGGATCCGCCCGCAGCATCGATTATCACGTTAATGGCGCGAAAGAAATATTTACATAGCGGAGAATATCGCGCGATGATAGCGCTCATAATCTCGAAATCACAGCGATTATAAACAGGTCAGGACCACCCGCGCATCATCGGGAAATATACCCAAGATTTTTCGCGAAATTCGGAGCTCTGTGTTTCCACGCGAAAAAGCAGCTCGCGGCGAAAGTGACCGGTCGCGTGCGGGCAGATTCTGCGCGTGGGAAGCGGAGACTCGATGCGCGGTCTGCTGCTCATTGTTTGCGGATTAGGAAGAATCTCACACGATCTCGCTGAATCGGACAGCGTGTAACACGGGGAGGGGGGGAACACTTCACGAGATGAACGCTCTTCTCTCTTCAGTGCGCGTAATGCGATAAGATCACGCGGCAAACGCGACGAAGAAGAAAAAAAGGGGAAAAACACGAGAGCTGCGATACACAATAGAAAATTAATTAATCGAAAACGGCGAGCGATCACCCCCCCCCCCTCCATCATCAAAAGAAAGCATATAGTGTCGGGTGGGCGCGCCCGATTTCACGGTGCGTCGGGGGCGCCTTGTCTGTCGGCGGCACGTAAGACGCCTAGCATTAAAGCTACTGTCAGAGATATTACAGGCGATGGTTCAAATTTCTCAGCGAACGTCGTACGTAATCACGCGTTTCTTGGACGCGCGCGTCTCGTCTATTTACACGTTCAGTCTCCCTTTGTTCGCATTTTTATTTCTCCCGTGTCGGAATCCTTAGTGGGTTTGATCCCCAATAAACACAGGCCTACTCACTAAAAGTGGATATTGATACTACCACGTGCCAAAGGTAAATGGCCCCAACCGCGCACGAATGGCAGAATTCATGAACGTATAATGAACTCGAGTTCGAGATATACGCAGGAACTCTGCGAGGTACTTTTCAGTAAGAGCAATCGCTTCGCCTGTGCACGCCTGCACATGGAAATTTTCGCGCATCCAAATGCTTGTCAAGCCGATGTCGTGTTCAACATCCTCCTCACCACATAGTACCGAGCCCAGACCTGGTTCTGGCGCACGAGGGTGGAGAAACAGAATTACGCTCTGCTTCTGCCGCGATTTGCAATCGAGTTGCGTAGAATATCGGTATACAGCAGGTGTACCCGGTCGGCCGCAGCCTCCTGAAAACATTTCGTAAGCCGTGCGTGCCTGCGCGCCTCTAGCGCGATCACGGCGCGTGCACAGCGCATGCGCGGCAAGGCGCGCCGCAGGTGCCGCCGTCCGTCGAAGAATTGTTCGGCGAATTCCGACGACGTTTACCTCTCGGAGAAAACGGATGGGAAAATACGCGTTTCCGCGCAGCACGCTGTGAGCAGGTGTGTGTGTGTGTGTGTGGCTGTCTGTGTGGGTGTCGTGTGTGTGTGTGTGGTGGTGTGTGTGCCATGTGCCGTTGTGTGTGCATGTGTGTGTGGCTGACTGTGCGTTGGTTTAGTCGCGCGCTGTGTGTGCGCGCGTTGTATGGCGGTGCGTGCGTGTGTGCATGCTGTATGCGTGGCGTGTGTGTATGGTCGCTGGGTGTGTATTGTGGTGCGCGCCATGCGTCCGTGGCTGCGCGTCGGCTGTACGCGGCGTGCGTGTGCGCGCGGCTGGGTGCGAATGCGCTGCGTGCGGATGTGCGTGCCAACGTTGGGTGCGGTGCGTCGTGCATGCTGCGCGCTTGCGTGTGCTGTGCGTGTGGGTTGTCGGCCCCCGTGCGTGTCGTGGGAGCGCAGACGAGCAAACGCTCTCGCGAATCACGCGAGACTCTATATTAACGTGTGCGGTGGGAGATGGCCGCCAAACCAAGACATAAATCTCACCGAACCAGCGATTACGTAGTTGCGCGCGCATCCCGCCTGTCCATTGGATATATACGCATTCTGGTCGCAAAGCTATGCGACGATATTCGTATATACTCACATTATTTGTGAGACCGGAATTTCACTTTTATTTAAAAGCCGCATTCACTTGCAATTTTTCATTGCAGTTAGCACTCGGGTTTAACTCTGAAGTTTTTTAGCCCATTTTAGCAGAGCGACAGCAAATCGATATCTTTAAAAAAAATATACTCTCCAGCGAAACAGTTTCCATAAATCTTTCCGCCATGTTCATTGAGCTCAAAATCATTATAAGCTCTTTTTAACAGTATGTCAGACAGAACAGGCAGATATGGCTTGACCGCTACTAGCGGGTGGACGGGGGACAAGACGATAAATGCCAAGCTAAAGGTTTACACCTGCCCACTGACACATCAAAACTTGAGGAAGTGTATGTGTGTGCGTGTGCTTGTGTTGTTGTGCCTGTGTGTGTGTGTGTCGTGTGTGTGTGTGTGTGTGTGTGTGTGTGTGTGTGTGTAGTGTGTGTGTGTGTGTGTGTGTGTGTGTGTGTGTGTGTGTGTGTGTGTGTGTGTATGTGTTGTATGTGTGTGTGCGCGCGCGTTCATATGCGCATGTGAGTGCACATGCGTGCGTGTCTATGTGTGTGCGCGAGTGCTTGTGTGCGTGTGGATGTATGTGTACGTGCTTGCGTGTGTGCCTGCGCGCGTGCGTGCGTGCGCGTGCGTCTATCAGAGAAAAACTGTCGTTACCTCTCGCAGTTTCTCGGATAGTTCTCCAAGAATAGCATCCTCGTCGAAGAACTTGCCCTGGAAGCGGTGCTCGAAAAAGTCGTGAATGCGCAGGCGCATGTCTCTCGGCAACTTCCGGTAGACCATGTACTCGTCGACTTGTTGAATCTGCAAATAAAAAGATTACGATTTTGATTTAAAATAAGGTTAGATTAAGTATAATAATTACGACGAGCTACAAAGAAATCTTTACTGGAAGCGAGCAACAGAACCTGGAAACAAGCAACCGAAAATTCTAGCGTGTGACGTTCTACGATAAATATTATTTAAAATATTAAAAACTAGAGCACTTGGAGAGCACAGACCTCCGCCAAGGCAGCTGAATTCTCTCAATGTGAAATTTTTAAGTTTAATTAAATAAATAATTAATTGGATCCGGATTAGTGCGAGCGTGCAGGTGGGAGAGAACTGTGGTTGCCCCTTAGCCTGTGTTTGTAAGTCTACAGCCAGCGCACCTAGCGGAAGTGAACTGAAACGTGCATGGCAACACACACACGCACAAACCAACACTCAATGGCACGCCGGTGAAAACATAACCTCCGCCACGCCCCTGGCGGAGGTAATTACGTGAAATGTGTGAGAAAAAGACAGAACGGAAGCCGTTGACGGAAACACCGTGAATGGCTCTCCGATAACAATTAGTTAACACTACCACGATACACGGGAAAGGTAATGAATAAAACTAACACTACGGATAAAACGTTTTTGACAATGGGCCCCTGCATGTACCGGCTCTACGGGGAGCATACACCAGCTAGCAGCACTCATTTAGAATCGGTTTGATGATTAATTGTTCGCTGGCACGAACAGCCCATAAACAGTTATGCTTGTATAATTGACTACGTTATGTTGTATATGTATTGATGTCATGCTGCTATATATACGGTTAGAGATGAAGAGCCTCTTCGTTGAAGCCATCTGCTTTATTTCAAAGGCAAAACGCGGGATTAGAATGGCTCGCGTCTATTCTTATGCACAGTGTTTGCACGGCATTTGACTCTGCTAGAAAACAGACTCACACGCGTAAACCACGAAGAATATTTTTATCAACCCGTTGTCCGCGAGAGAGAGTTTTTTTTGCCACGGCCTAATAGCATCACATCGGCATTAGGTTGCTCTTATTAACAAAACAAGATTACGCAAAATAAACAGACAGCTTCTACAGATTTTTTTGTTTCAGTTGAAAATGATGTTTCTGGCGCAAGGAAAAACACACAAGCGTGCGCAAAGGCAGCATACATCTTTCATGTTGAGAGTGCACCAGAATGTACCATTTGATCCATTTCATATATCTATTGTATTCGACAAGCGATGACGAGGAGTACGGGTGATGAAGCGACGCCCCCTCCTCCAACCGCATCACGAATAAGAAATAAGAAATAATTCAGAAATAAGTTATCTAAGTAAGTTTATCTAAGTAACAGAGCAGTAAACGTTTACGCCGTTTCCCTGTATTTATCTTCCTAGTGTGGAACTCACGACGTAACGACTCGGGAATGTTTCCCACTGGTTCCCATAAATAAGACTGCTGGGGGAAATGAAGCCATTTAACTCTATAATGCTTCATGCCATTGATACTTTTACAGGCTACTAGCTTATCAACGGTAAAGTAATCAGCCTGTGATGATGGACGCGTCTGCGTGCTTACCGCCGGCGTAGAGGCGTTAATTATCCTGCGGTGGAGACGCTAGATCCGTGTTATGCGAGAGACTGGAGAGAGCTCTTAAAATCACAGTACAACATATGTATGTCCTTTATACAATTCCCGCAGGCACGCCTCTCTTTTCTGGCACAACTTCGCGCGCGTTGGTGGATCTTTTATCAGCCTTCCCACTTTCCATTCCAAAGAAATTATGTTAATGTCGTTTGAACTATTCTTCCTCTTAACACGTTCAACGTATCGCGGGGAATGTTCGACATATGTATGAAATAGTCCGGCTATGTAGCCTGTATTCATTCACTTACGGTACACGGCTTAGCTCAACCTAACACGAATAAAGAGTGAACGCTATCAAGAGCTAATATAATAAGGTATTATTAGCTCTTGACGCTATTAAGCTACATGGTTGCTTTGCGCATGCGTTCTCACTCGCGTCTCAACGTTGTGACCGTTGGCTATCGGGGTGAACTACGGCCGCTAATAGCGCTGATTTGTGTGAACAGTAAATCTACAGTTATTAGACACGGTATTGTAGTCGTAAAGATTCCAAGTCACTGCGTGTCTCATCCAGGGAAAGGTAACCTGAATGCCCGAAACGCGCCGAGTGTGCATCGCATACCGCTGTATGTGGTGAAGCGAGAGCGCCCGGTGGGTGATTGCATAAATATGAGGGTATTTAACATAGAAATATTTAACATAGAAATGACATTCGAGCGAGGTGCGTCATTGTGAAGGATCTTCGGCGGAGATTCACTCATTATTCCACTTTGAAACGCTGGACACGTATAAAATCATGCATGTGCCGGGATTACATTCTCTCTCTCTCTCTCTCTCTCTCTCTCTCTCTCTCACTGTCTCTCTCACTGTCTCTCTCTACCTTGTCAGGAGTTACTGTCGTATTTAAGCTACACAATACGAGCTGATTAATTTAATTTATCGCATTGCAGATTACTTTATTGTAAAGAAGCTTATTTTCGACCTCGGCGTAATTATTGATGGAAATTATATTTTGTCGCGAATACAATATATACGTAACTTTACTACATACTATATACGTACGCTCAATATGCTGGGCATGTGTTTATGGGTTATTAGGCAAATGTAATGTCGTATAATTAAAATAAATCTAATTGCGGGCCAGTGGTAGTCTACGTGGAACGACCAAATCTCGATATTGGAGCAGCAGATAACGCGGCTCGATGTATTATCGCGCAATAAACGCCGGTGTTTAGACATTATACATTTTGCATTAAATACAGGTTATAAACTACTTTTTACTGGTAAGCGGCATTGGCCTAACCAGACGATGCGAGACGTGATACGGTAGTTTTAGATTGGAGGATGAGCGGGATGACGTAGGATTGGGGCAGAGCGGCGCAGAGAGATAATTATAGATACTATGAGCGAGGCCTGCGCTCCGACCCGAGGACCGAGCGAGACGCGCCGCACCACCCGAGAGCAGGGACCGGGGGCGAGGGGGAGAATCGCATTCGAGAGCGCGAGTTGTCGTCCGCGACTGACGCGCGCTTACACCTCCGGCGTCGCCCCCGCCATGCCGACTCTATCGACCGCAGCAGAAGATAGAGACGAGGGGAGAGAGGAGAGGAGGGAGAGAGGAGAGCAGAGGTGGGCGGGAGAGAAAATAGCGATGTGACGCTGGTGAGATGAGAGGGTGGGATAGAGAGCCCACCAGTCTTTTCCCCCTCTCGCCTGCAGCTACGCCTATCTTCTCTGGGTTGCAGCAGGAGATTAATTCGAACTAACGATCTCTCACCCCCGCTATGTCCGCCTGTTCCTCCTCCCCCGTGGCCCAGCTCGCCCTCCCTCGCCTTCGCTCTCTCTCGCGCTCTCCTTACGCATGTCGCGCTGCGCCGTCTCCCTCTCGCTCTCGCTCGCTGCTCGCGCGCTCCAGCCGGTTGCTGATTCTATTTTCTCGGGCTAGCCGCTGCCGACAACTATGCGACTCGCTCCTACCGCTCGCTTATCCCTCTTACTGGCGCGCGAACGCAATTATTTCCTAGCGGAGACTCTCCGCTTTGCATCGATAGACGTCCATAATCATCGCAATCACATCGCACCGCTCTCCATGAAGACCTTTTAGAGAATCCAAGCTTATTTAACACACACCGAGAATTTCGGTGAACTCTCTCACGATTTTATCGCGAATCTCGCTTCTCGCTCTTGCGCTCGCCGCCGATCACGCTCAGCTTCCCGGCCGACGCCCTACCCCTCGCGCTCCTCGCCCCGCTCGCGGTCGGCTCACGCTCCTCTCCGCGCGCTCTGGCGGACGCGCCTCGCGCCCGACCTCTTTCCGCATCCGCCCCTGCTCGGTCTGCCCCTCCCCTGCCCCTCCATATTTGCCGTTTCGCCCCTCCCCCCTCCCTTCCCCACCCTCTCCCGTCCACCCTCCTCCTATCGCCTATATTAATACCCTCCTTTCATCCTGTTCACGCTCGTTGTGCCTCCGTTTTTTGCTTTAGAGTCCTCCGTTATATCCCGGGCACCTATTGTCCGTATCGGCGTGGCGCGCACTTGGGCAACACTTCTCGAGCATGAACGCTCTCTCTCTCTCCTCGTGCCTACGTCATCGTAGTGCCAGACTCGCTCGCTCGCTCCGCGCTCGCGCTAGAAATTTCCTCTCCGTGTCTTCCGCCTCTGCCCTCTCTCTTTTGAGCAGCTCGCCGCATCACAATCAGAAAATAACTTAATCCGTGAAAACGCGCGAGCAGATCACCCTTCCATCCTCTCTACTCCAAACGCGTCCCCTCTGGTATTTCTGATTATCTGTGATTTTGTCGGCCCCGTGCGCCTCAGCTGCGTCGAAGTTCACTTGTGTGTGCCGTCACCGTTCGTCCGGGCGCTCCTATCGTCTCCTCGGCACAGTAGAGCGCTTCCGTTACGCTCCCTCGCTCGGTGCGCTCCTCGCCTGTTCTGCTCCTCTCTCCCTTCGCGCGATACCGCTCTCAGCACCGCGTTTCTTGGTCATGCGCCCCCCTCGGGCGACCCGGTCCCGCGTCTCGTCTACTTACAACGTTCATGTTCCCTCTTGTTCGCCATTTTCTTTCTCCCGTGTCGTAATCCTTAGGCCGCTCTCTTTGGTCGCCCAATACACAGGCCTAATCACTAGAAGAAGCTGGATATTGATACTACCACGCTGCTTCAAAGGTCTGGTCCCACCGCGCTACGAAATGGCAGAATTCCCATGACCGTCTCTGACTCCGCGCTCTCGGCAGATATACGCGGCAACTCTGAGACGCGATCACCCGGTTATTTTCAGTAGAGCAATCGCTTCGCTGTGCACGACTCGCACCTCGCGCTCTCTCTTCCGCGGCATCCAATGCTTGTCTAACGCCGATGCTCGCGTCTTCAACATCTCCTCACCTACATAGTACCGAGCCCAGAACTCTGGTTCTGGCCGCCCCACGCGGGGGGTGAGAGAACAACGAAT